TTATTAGGTGTAATACAGTGGCACGTAGGAGCCCCCAACATGGCCTAAGACCCCGTTGTGCCGGGTGCTGCACAAACACAGAACAACCAGCGGGTCCCTGCCCCAAAGAGATGACAGTCTAATCTCAACATCCAGCCTGAATTTCTCCTCCGCCCATGCCCCTCTGTGCCCCAGACAATCCCCACCACCACCTCAAAGCAGCATCAGAGCCTGGGAAGAGCAAGAAACAGCCTGGCCAACACCCTAGCACAGTGGTGGTTCCCAAGGCTTGATTCCCTTCCTGCGGAATACCAGTACTTCCCGCTCATGTCATCCCCTGGGGGTGAACTGGCCCCATGTTTGCCAATTGGACTTGGCCACTTCCTAGCCCGCTCTCGCTCCACAGAGCTCTAGAATGGCAGGGGCCATATGATACTACAGCAATCACAGGCAGCCCAGCCACTTAGGCCAAAGTGGCCACTGAGCTTGGTCACCTGACTTGTGATAGCTTGAGGCCTGATTTCCCAGGGGCTGAGCACCTCCTGCCTCTCCCCTTGACTTCGATGAGAACTGCCAGGCGCTCAGCACCGACGGGAACCAGCCCATGGTGTCCCAAGTCAGGCGCTCCCAAAAATGGAGGTCTCCAAGATCAGTGGCATTTTGGAAAATGGCCTTTCAACCTTGCCTTGGGGGCTCTGGCTATCCAGTGCTCTCAAGGGCTCCCCTTTGCACTCCCCAACAAGAACCCCCACAGCCGGTTTGGGAAATGCAGAATGAGCAGGGCCAGTGCATGGGGGAAAGCCCAGGTGCCTCTGCAGCCAGAAGCTGAGCATCTGGGGCACTTTACCCCTGAGTACCCAGCACTTGGGAGCTTGGTACAGCCCCAGTGGGACTTACACTCCCTTCAGGGCCCTTCAGAGGCAAATGTTGTGGGAGAAGATGAGCAGAGACTCAATCGTCTACAGCGCTTCTGGACCTGCCCAAGAAGAGAGCAGCTCAAGGGGAAGAGCAATAGCATAAAACTCAAACCAATGTGCACCCTGCTTCTGTCCCAGAGAGGGGGGGGAAGGCATACCAGGAAGATCTCACACACGGTGCACCCCTCTCTTGCTCACCCCGCTCGGGCATTCTGCAACACACACCTCTCATGCACTTAAACACATCCCTCTCACACTCTCCTCCCCTGCTCTTGCATTTGTACACACCTGTGCACTCCTTGGCAGTCACACACCTCTCTTGCACACCGGCCGGGGAGGACATTAGCTGCAGCGTGTCAGAACATGACTTGAGGCGGGGGCATCTCTGTGTTTTCATTTCATGATCTTCCCTTGCCCAGGTTTCCTTGGTGGAGGGTAGCAATGGGCTCTGGTCAGTTTGTGTATGCTGGGCTTGTTGCTTCTTATCTCGTAGCAGGAGCCATGTCACCCCGCTCAGGAAGCTGTCTCTGGGCTTGTTTTACTGCAGCGTTGGTTTCTTCTGCCCAAATGCTGTTAACTAAAGCGATTTCCAGAGTGAATTCTGTGCAGTCGATGGGCACCCAGCCACAGGACAGTCCTGGAGCATGAAATGCTTGGATTATCCTCAGCAGCTGTACAACCCTCTCTGCAAACCACCCCTGTACCTGCTGCTCGGGCCAGGCAGTAGCTCCCTCTTCAGTCCTCATTTAACCTTTGGAGATCACCAAGAAGGGGGCAATCAGTGGTGTTTTTGTGATATGGGAGGAAGTGGCGGAGACCCCTCCTCAACCATTTCACAGGATAAGCACAGATCTGGGCTGGATTTGAACCAGTAACCCAGTAGTGAAAAATTCTACAGCCCATTACTAAATCCCTAAGCCAGCCAGCAAACTGAGAAAGCAGCTTTGTCACATTGTATACAGATGGGCCATGAGCTACAAAGCTGGCCCTGCAGGGGCTGATTTGAGGTCTCCTGTAGCAGCAGCAGCACAGTATGTGTGGAGGGGGAAGGTCCACGGGAGGGGGCACAGACTATTTTTCTTTATAGGAAGCACACCATAGCATCCAAAGTCTGCAGCACATCAACACTAGTCCTTGCTACACTCGAGTTGGTGAGAAAATCATTGTAGGTGATTGAGTATTTAATGCCGTGAGGCAGGATGGTCTAGTGGTGTGAGCACAGGCCTGGAAGCTGGGCAGTCTGGTTCTCTGCCTCACCCTTGGTGTGTGAATCCAGGCAGTTAACATCACCGCTCTGTGCCTCGGTTTCACCGTGTGCAGAATGGGGATAAAAGATCCCATCCTGCTCCGGAGGGGTGATGTGAGGCTTAATTAGTCTCTCTTTGTCCCGTGCTATGAGATCATAGGCGGTACCAGCTATCCTAGGGGAAGGGATTAGGATTGTGTTGGAGGCAGCTCTCTACATAATCAGGTCCTATCTTTCTGTGAATGAAAACCCGTTGGCATAGCAGGGGGGTTTTGCTCTTTAAAACTCCACGCACCAGCTGGCCTTCATCGTGCATTTGCTGCTGCGCAAAGGCTCCCCGTTTATAACCCAGGATCTCCTGGATTTCAGATCCTGGCCAGCCCCAACTGCATCTGCCTGAATCCTGCCTAAACCAGCCCCCCTCAGAAATTGTCTGTGACTATGGGGGGGGGAGGGCAGCTTGGGCCTCCGTGCCCTGACTTGTTTTCAGAACAGAAATGCCGCCAGTTTCGCGGGGATAAGTAACAGCATCTTGTTTTTTGCTGTGTGCTGCTGGCATCTGGATCCTCTCTGCCAGGGTGAGGGTAATGCGGTGTTATGGGAAGGCTAAAGAATTGGCAACGACAGCTAACCCAAATGACAAGCAGCAGAGCTGTAACTTTCTCCTGGTGCCTAGATCCTCTGGTATGTGGGCCTCTTAGAAATCCACCTCGCTAGCCTGCCCTCCTCCCCAACGCCGGACATCTTCCCCTCCACCCCCTTTGCCCCAGCAGAGATTGTATAGCAAATACTAGAATGATACTTAGCTCTTCTTCCACACACAGATCTCCTAGTGCTCAGGAGGTACAATTACCCCTTTGACAGCTGGGGAAGTGAGGTGAGGAGATGTGCTCGAGGTCACACAGCAAGTCCGTGGCAGTGAGGAACACAGCTCAGGCCCCTTCAGCCCCACTCCAGCGAGCTTTCCCCTGGATCAGGGGGTCAAAGCCTGAGCCCATACAGCTACACAGTTCTTTCTAGTGCCACTGCACAGGCCTGAAAACCCAGGCTCTGAAACCCTCTGGTGTAGGCTGCTCCCTGCCTTACAGCTGTACCTTGTTTGGGTGGAGAACCGAGACACAGAGGGGTCAAAGGAGCTGCCCAAGGTCACCCAGGGAGCCCATGGCAGAGCAGAGAATTGAACTGCAATCTCCTGAGACCCAGTGCCAGACCTTAGCCACAAGAGCATCCATCCTGCTGGACAAGAGCATGGGTGTGGGCATGCACCACTGCCCCCTGCTAGATGGAATCAGACCTGCTCAGACAGCTGCTCTCTGTAGGCTACCCTTAGTAAAGATGCTCCTCTAGTGCTTACACCAATGCCTTTCCAGACAGCCTCATTGTGGTATCCCAACATTCACTGTTTGGTAAGCAGCCACCTCTTCCTCCCTGCTCTGTCCCACCTCAGCACAATGAGGGTGACAGTAGAGCATTGTGGGTGATGCTATGGAAATCCCCAGCCAGCTGAGACATTGCCACTGGTTGGGATCCTGCTCTCCCCTCTGCTAATAAGCTCTCCCTGACCCTCTGAGTTCCCCACTGTCTATGGCGTGGCTCACAGCCAGCCCCAGGGAGGGGGAGATGTGTGCAGAGTGATACCACACATTGCAGACCCCAGGAGAAAGCCCTGTCACAAGGCACTTGCAACGTAGTCCACACTTCCAAACGCAGCCAGGGAGGAGCTGACAGACTGAAAAGCCGAGGGGAGAGGGAAAGGAGTGTAACACACAGGCCGAGTGATCCCGGGACATGGCCGCTCACTTACAAGGGGTTGGGAGCTCTAGAAAGTCAAACACACTGAGCTCTTTGGGAGCAGGCACCACTGTTTTGTTCTGTGTTTGTACAGCACCTACACAATGGGGCCAGGGCTCCTTGGTGCTACCGTAATACCCCTAATAAATATTGTAAAGCACCCAGACAATGAGACCAGGGCTCCTCGGTGCTGCCGTCACACCCCTAATAAATAACACGAAGCACCTAGTACAATGGAGCCTGATCCATGACTGGGGCTCCTCGGTGCTACTGTAATACCCCTAATAAATAATGTACAGCACCTAGCACAACAGGGTCCTGGGCACTACCACAATACACATCATATTACACACTTCAGTCCTCCTGTGCCCCCCACTCACCAGGAATTCCCTGTATCAGTCCTGGAATCCTAACTCCTCTCCCAGTGCTTGACCTTTCCCTCTGTGGAGGTGAGCGGTTGACTCACAACAAGTGCATTGGATATTGGCTACTGCCACGGCAGGCCTTGTGGGAGGAAGGGGGCCATTGGGGGCATTTAGAGAAGCTGGCCAGCCTTGGTGCAGGGGGCGCTCCATGTATAGGGGGTGGCCTGGAAGGAAGCACGGCCACGGGGGATGCAGACGAAGAGGGCAATGGGGCACCATGGACGGAGCTGACGAGATGGCACCTGGGCAGATGAGCAGGGAGGGCAGAGCTCTGAAGCTCTGGAGCTGGCGATGGAGAAGGGGGAGCCAGCAAAGGGATTAGAGGGGTGAGAGTGATGGCAAAGACCAGTACTGCCACAGAGGGAGTGGGTGGGAATTTAGACTGATGACAGGAGGGCCTGTTTCTGTACAAGGTGGGTGGGTAATTATCCAGTACAGTGGGTCTCTGTCCCTGCAGGGGCAGCCCTCCCCAGACCCCAAAGGACTCCCCTAGTGGTTCATGAGGCTCCGTGGGCAAGGCTCCCCTCTGCCCAGTGCCACACATGACAGCGAGTGCTTGGCTGGGGGCCAGGCAGTGTGCGTGGCAGGCCCCCGGGCGTGGCAGCATATGGCAATGCCCCTGATCACATCTCTGCCTTGCAGTGCGACAATGAGTGCTGGCTCGATCGAGCAGGAGCCGTCGCGCAAGCTGGCCTGCTGCGGGGTGCCCCTGATCACCGAGGACATGCAGTCGCTGGCCATCCGCACCCTCTCCGGCACCGACATCAATAAGCACTATGACCTCATCCGCGAGCTCGGCAAGGGCACCTACGGCAAGGTGGACCTGGTGTCCCACAAAAGCACAGGTGAGGCCAGCTCAGCTCCTAGCGGCCAGGCCTAGGCATTTGGGCAGGCAAGGCTTGTTGGCAGCTCAGCGAGCCACGGGGTGGGAGCAGCTGGATGGGGAGGGGAGAGACAGCTGGGGTGGAGGAACCGAGCAGCCATCTGATGTTCAGCCCAGACCTGTTAGCAGGTCGGGGAGCACTAAGATTCTTGTACTTCTTGTTTGGCTTGGTGCCTGTCTGCTGCAGGCTGACTGATGCCCACTGGGAGTGGCTCACCTCGGGGTATTTCCAGCCACGCCAGCGGCAGGAAGTGTCAGACTCCTGTACCCTGGCTTGGGTTCAGCTCATGGAGGAGTCAGGAGTTGCTCAGACAGGGACCCCTGAAGCAGGCTGGGTCTCGGCTCATTATCGCCACATCTCCAGTCTAAGTCAAATGGTTTTGCTAGCAGAAATTGCACTGGCATGACAGGTGCACTCCCCAACCCACAGCCGGGGGCATCCAGCTACTGGGAGAGTAGCAGGCATGGCCTGTTGCTTGCCTCTTACCAGGGCCTGTGGCCTCAGGGATCCACTCTGTGTGCCATTCCACGGGCTATTCTCTGGCACACCCACAGTCCTCTGCCCCCGGTGAGCTGACAGGATAGGCGTGGAGGTCTCCATGGTGTGCTGAGCCTGTGGCGGTCCCTTCTGTACAGCTCCCAATGGACCAGGCTTGCTGCTTTGAGACTCTTCTGTAGTTCTGGGGGTGCAAAGCCCTTTGGAGAGGATGCCAGGTGCTCCTGTTAATGTTCCTGCCTAGCTACTGTCCCCAGCAGAGCTGGTCAGGAATTTGTCAATGAAATGTTTTTCATCCAAACGGAAACGTTTCCTGGGAAAGGGGTGTCGTCGATGAACTTCTCCACTCAAAACGTTTTTGAAAAAAAGAGTTTAAAATTCGACATGAAAAAATCCACTTTTCTGGTTCAAAATGACTTTTTGTTTAGAAATTTAAGCTAATGAGAATTAAACAAAAATTGAGAAAATGGAAATGAAACGATTCCACTGACCTGAATCAGTTTTTTTCCAGATTTTCAGTTTGCACATTTTTTTGAAATGTCAAGTCTTTGTTCTGATTTGGGATGGGAATATTTTTTAAAATCTTGAAAATGGTCAAGGGACAGGAAAATCTCAGTCCTTGTGCTCAAAGGCCAGTGTCTTCTGCACAGGCCTCTCCAGAGGTCTAGTGGGTGTGGACCAGGCCCTGACGAGCCATGTAGAGCTGGGTTGGTACGGAGAGCAGCACCTGCTGGGACCGCACTGCTAGGATGGGTGGTGCCTGAGCCGGGGGCCATGACTTTGGGAGCTCTCGGGGGAGCGTTGTGTCCGCCGCAACCTCCCCACTGGTCTGGGAGGAGTCCTATGTTGCTGAGCCTTCTCCTGAGCCTTTTCCTCTGTAGGCACCAAAATGGCATTGAAGTTCGTGAACAAGAGCAAGACGAAGCTGAAGAACTTCTTGCGGGAGTTCAGCATCACCAACACGCTCTCCTCCAGCCCCTTCGTCATCAAGGTCTTTGACGTGGTCTTTGAGACTGAGGATTGCTACGTCTTCGCTCAGGAGTACGCGCCTGGCGGGGACCTCTTTGACATCATCCCGCCACAGGTACCGGCTAGGAAGCTTCCCTGGACTGTCTCTCTCCTGCCCCCAGAGTTTGAGCTTTAACACCCCTGGCCCTCAACTGGGGCTGCCCCAGCTCCCCTGCACAATAGACCCCTTTCCTACATGAGAAGACCTTCTTCCCCATTGACCCCCGTCCCACCTCTGTTACTGAGAGACCTAAAGGCAGACTCTGTCCTCCAGCTGTGATCTCGTGTGCTAAGCAAGGGTGCTGACTGGAGTCAGCATACCAGGCTCAGGCCTGGCAGGTCCCTGAGTGCAATACCTCCACAGGAAAGCCCTGACATTCCCGTATGAGAGCGCCTGGGTCTGGCTCTCCTCTTGCTAGCACCTTGTGGGTTCCTTTACACCTGGCAAGGTGAGAGTGAGTGGAGAGCTCTGACTTGGGAGCATCCCGGGTGTTAGTGGCTCCTGCATATACAGGGTGTTCAGTACGTGGTGTTCTTCCCTCAACTCTGCAATCAGACCTCACCCCTGGGGGCAGCATGCCTTAGATGAGACAAAGCTGAGCCCTTAGCCAATTGTGTCCTATTAATGAGCCTGTAGCAATTTTCACAAGAGCGGGGCTGTTAAATGCTAACTGGGGTCACTACAACCTTCCTGCTTATGCTTGCCATGCAGTTGCAACTGGGTGCATTATGCATCACTTCCTGTCCTAAACCTTTGCCTAGTGATGCTGTGCGCTGTTAAACTGCTGGCATGTCCCACCCCAGAGGGGGCCGCATTTAAGTGATTCTTGTCTCCACCATTTGCAAAGTGCTTTGGGATCCTGAAAGATGCTAGATAAAAATAAGAAATTAATGACTATGATTCATTATCCTTACGAAAGCAGGGGGGAGGTTCAACAGTGACCAGGGGTTCATAGCCATCTCCTGGGGCGAGCTAGTCCAACGGCACACATAGTACTGCTTGCTCTGATCATAAAACATTTTGAATGAATGAATGAACAAGGCGAGGGGGGAGGGGAGGAATAAGCAGACAGAACTGAGAGAGAACCAAGGAGAAAGGATGACCAAAGAGGAGAAAGAGATCTCCCCAAATATAATTAGACATAATTGAATTGGAAGTGTAATGAAATCGTAATGTAAAGCGAATAAAGGAAAATGTGATTATACAGCTTCAGCGGGTGCTGTAGCAAAGACAAGAGACAGGGTGTACAAGAGACAAGTGTGTGTGTGTGTGTGGGGGGGTGAGTCCTTGAAATGCCCTCTGTGTTCTGACCCAGGAAATTCTAGCCCCTGTGTGCCCCTCACCAGTTTGATCTTTGGGAGGCTGGCGTTGGTGTCTGCCATTGGCCCAGGGATTCAGACTAGCCTGAGCTCTGGCTAAGATCTCCACTGTGGGATGGGTTCTGGACTGGTTTCACCAGGCCTGCTCTGGTCTCCAAGGTGGTGGTGAGGGATAAGGACCTTGCCCCCTGGAGAAGAAGGGGAACTGTATCCCCACCCCTGCTGAACTTCACAGCCCTGCCCAAGTGGCTGGCAGTTCTCACCCAGCCGCCCGATCGCCCCCTCAAACCCTTGGTGTGTGGGAGGGAGGGAGACAGTTTGTTGGCTGCCATTTCAGGATGATGACGGTTTCCAAATTTCCACCCAGCTTCTGTGTTGCACTTGGATAGGGACCCGAGGGAACACTGCCATCAGAGACGCTAGAGGTGGAGAAGGCCTTTTAGGTCACCTAGTCCATCCCCTTCCCACTCAGGGGCCAGTGTTGGGTTGTTCTCCAGGACCCTGGCCCGTGCTAAATGGAGCTGCCACCACTTCCTGTAGGAGCTTATTGTATGTCCCTCTGGACCTCTCTGCCTTAGATATTTCTCCTGAAGCTCAGCCTAGACTTTCTTTTTGTCAGTCTCCTTCCTCTTACCCTGCCCAACCCCAGAGCACCTTAAGCAATTCCTCTCCCTGCTCCCACATGGGACACTACGACCTCCTCTCCTCCCTTTCACACCGCCTTGGCCAAGCACCCTTCATCTCGCCTCCTCAACCAGCCCCTCTAGCTCCATCGCTCTTCTCAGCCAGCTTCTTCCAAGCGCGGAGGATGCTCAACCCTCCGCTCCACCCCAGACCCTGCTCCCACCCCACCCCTTCCCCCAAGCCTCCATCGCCACCCTGCCCCTTCCCCGCCCCTTCGCCGCCTCTTCCCACCCAGTTCCACCCTCTCCCTCCAGCGTGCCCCATCCCTACTCCACCCCCTCCCTCCCAGCGTCTCCTGTACTGCGCGATTCTGTGAAACAGCTGATTGAGGTAGGCAGGAGGAGCTGGGAGGGCGGGGGAGGTGCTGATCAGCGGGGCAGCAGGCAGGTGGGAGGCGCTACAGTGGGGAGCTGGCTGCCAGTGGGTGCTGAGCACCCACTAATTTTTTTCCGTGTGTGCTCCAGCCTTGGAGCACCCACGGAGTCAGCACCTATGCCCCCTCCCAGGGTGTCGCGGTCTGTTGGGGATTAACAGGCTCTAGAGAGAGACCCAGGAGGAGGAGAGGCTGAGGTGGATCTCCAGACTTGGCCTCTCTCAGGAGAAGGTCCTCAACTGAGATCCTGCTGCCAGTTGACTTCTGGGTCCAGCACTGGGAGAAGGGGACCTTACCTGGGATTGGAGGGTGACAGTGGATGGGGGATGTGCCCTCAGAGGAGAGCCGTGGCTCCATGTCATGGATCATGGTGCGGCCAGGTCTGGGCAGCTCGTTACCAGATACTGACCAGAGAAGAAATACATAGTGCGGCCAGGTCTGGGACAGAGCTCGGAGTGGGCGGTGATCTCCGCAGTGACCAGGAGCATGGGGCATGTGCCATGTCGGAGTGACACACTTCCATCTGTGTGAGGGCACATGGAGGCCTGGGGAAGGAGGAGCTTAAGCACTGATAAAGGAATTATGGTAGGACCTCCTTAATTCAAGCTCCTAAGGGGAGAGTCTTTGTGTGACCTGAAATGTGCCAACAGGACATGTCTGTGATGGGCCCCATACACCTTGGGGGCGGCCTGGCAGTCAGGGACACTCCCCAGGAGAGCCAACCTGTTGTTAATCCATTCGCTTCTTTTCTGTGGCTTAACCCCCAGTGCCTGCCTGTCTGACTCCACGTGTGACCCCCTGCCCCTCATCCCCATGCCCGGTGCTAATATGCAGTATCTACCCTTATAGGTGGGCCTCCCCGAGGACATGGTGAAGCGCTGTGTGCAGCAGCTGGGCCTGGCCCTGGACTACATGCATAGCAAGAACTTGGTGCACCGGGACATCAAGCCGGAGAACGTGCTGCTCTTTGACCGTGACTGCCGCCGGGTGAAGCTGGCCGACTTCGGCATGACCCGCAAGGTGGGCTGCCGGGTGAAGCGCATCAGCGGCACCATACCCTACACGGCGCCCGAGGTGTGCCAGGCCGGCCGGGCCGAAGGCTTTGCCGTGGACACCAGCATCGATGTGTGGGCCTTCGGGGTGCTCATCTTCTGCGTCCTGACCGGCAACTTCCCCTGGGAGGCAGCCTCTGCCTCAGACACCTTCTTTGAGGAGTTTGTGCGGTGGCAGAAGGGGCGCCTGGCAGGTCTGCCATCCCAGTGGCGGCGCTTCACAGACAACGCCCTGCGCATGTTCCAGCGTCTCCTGGCCCTGGACCCCGAGAAGCGCTGCCCCGTCAAGGAGGTCTTCTACTTCATCAAGTATGACCTGATGTCAGAGGTGCGCCGCCGGCCCTCCTACCGCTCCCGCAAGCATGCCGGAGATAAGCTCTCCGCTGGCCCCCACCGCCATGAGACGCCCAGCTCCTGCACCCCTACCCCGCTCAAGAGAACCATCCTGACGGAAGGCAGTGGCCCCCGGCTCTCTGCCTCCGAGCCAGGCCTGCCCTCCCCTGGGGGAGCTAGCCGGACGGACGGGCGGCAGGACAAAGGCAAAGGGCAGATGGTCCTGGCCACAGCAATAGAGATTTGTGTCTGATGAGGGCTCAGTGGGAATGAGGGGACAGCTGGTCCTCGCAACACCGCTCTGCTCCGTACAGCCTGCAACGATGATGTCAGCACCCCCGCCTCCCCGCCCCACTGGTGAATGGGGGTCAAGGGGGGATGGGGATTCCTTTTTGTGTGAAAAGGGACCAGGAGCCGTGTCTCCCGAAGCAAAAAATACTCACACTGCTAGTACTCACTGATACTGAGGATGCGACGTACAGCTAAACCCTGGAGGAAAGGCCAGAGTGCAGACACAGCCAGGCAGAAAGGCCCCGGCTTGGTGGCCGGGAAGGACCATGTGTGTCATGGCGGCCCCTCCCCATCACGTCTTCCATGATTGGGTTGGAGGCTGCTTCCCCTGGCACTCTGCACTGTGCCCCTGCTTTGTCAGTGGGGCCTGGGAGGAGCGCTGAGGCTCTTCCCATTGTTGGGGGTGGGCTGGGACTTTCACAGGGATGAGAGCAGGAAGCCACAGGAGGGAGGGAATCGGCACTGAGTCTTGGACACACGGATGGGTGACCATCTTGCGGGCAGCAGGGGCTCAGCAGGGATGTCACAGCCATTGGGTGTGTGGGGGTGGGGTGGGGGGTAGGATGGGGTGGGGCTGCCAGTGATGGGTGGTTTGTAGTTAATAAGCAACAAGGGTGGCCATCTTGCGGGCAGCAGGTGTGGGGCTCTGGGGTCATCGGGGGCCCCTATCACTGTCAAGGCTTGATATGCAAACTGGTGCATTGTTCCCTGGGGCAGGGTGGGCGCTGGGGCTCGGGATCTTGCTACAGGATCCCTGCGAGAGAGCATGGGGCCAGCACCATCCCAGCGGGCACTGCAGCAGCATTGCTCTCCAGCACTGCCCGCTGTCACTCTTTTGTTCGCTCTTTGTGTCCGTGCTCAGGCCCGGCGACTCTCCTGTGATTTCCCTGGAGGGGGGGCTGGCGGGGCGGACTCCTGAGGTTTGGGTGGAAGGCTCATGAGCCCAGTCCATGGAGGAGGCCTTTGGAGAGATTGGGGGGGGGCAGCGTGCACCAGCCTGTTTAATACCAAGCAGGCTATGGTTTGCCCCTTTTGCCCCATCCCCCACTGCCATCCTGCTTGGAGGACGGTCTGTGATGGGGAGCAGGAGATAAAGCGAAAGCCAGTAAGCCTGGTTGAGCCACTGGTCTGTCTGTAAAGGGGGTTTCCTCAGGGCCAGTTCTCTGACAGCCTGAGCCCAGCCATGTCCAGGGCACGTCCCCCAGGGGTGGGGACTCGGGCAGCCCCAGCTCCTGCTGCTCCCCTCCTTGCTGAGGGATCCTGAGGGCACTTCTCTCTGTACCAGTGGGGGAAGCAAGCGCTAAATGTAGCAAATGTCAGTGTGTTCCATGTGTCAGTGTGTGTGTCGAGCCGACTGGGCCCGGCTGTTGTCACCATCACCCTTCCCAAGGAACAGCCTCTCCCTGTCCCTGGCCCCAGCGGGCCAGCTGGGCACTGGGACCCATTTGGGGAGCAAGAGGGCATAGCACATGATGCCTTGTGAGGAGCAGAGACTTAACCCATTTGGTCTTAACTGGAAGGACATGGGCAGCAGGAGAGCCGCCGTCAGGCTCCGGATCCCCTGCTCCGTGGGGTTTTTGGTGGCTGCATTGGTTAGGCTCTCATCAGCATGCAGTGCTAGGCCATATGGGGCTGGGGCTTGGATGGCAGGCAGGGGCCTGGGAAGGGGTGCTCACAGATACCCCTGATGGGCTTGGCCTGGCACCTGCTTCCTGGGCTGGATGGCTCTTGCTTGCGTCTGCCTCTGGGGAGGAGGTGCACACCAGTGGAAGGCGCAGGGGACAGGTGAAGCCAGCCCGAAACAGAGTCAGCTGGTGGGGTTGCCCAAGGCAAACCAGTAGGCATTGGCATGGGGGTTGGCACAGCACCCACCCCCTAGATGGATGCGTTGGAGCCAACCCCCGAAGTGGTGGCCAGAAGGGAAAGCTATTAACTGCCCCCAAAGTCTGGCCAGTTTCCATGACAAGCTGGAGGCAGCAGGGGGTGCTGGAGAGAAGAGACGGAAGGCGGTGGCGCTGTCAGGGCAGGCGAGAGCCCTGTGTCCAGGGTGTTCTGGATGACTCACCATGCACTGCAGCCATACTGCACTAAGAGCGGCGTGAAGGGCTGGGTGGGGCTGCAGGGAGGCAATGTCCTTGGTATACCAGGCGCTGCTGCAGCATGGACCCCTGGGGAGATGGGCTTTGCCGCTGAGCTGCCCTGGCCTCTAGAATGCATCCACTTAGACCCAGTCCAATCCAAGCTGCCGGCCAGCTCCCAGCCCTAACCCTCTGTGTCCCACCAGTGCCACGGTGAGCCCTGTTCAGCCACTGTCACACCCTGTGCAGCTAGCTCTCCCCTAGCCAGGGCTCTGCTGGGAGCCCACTCACTGCCATCAGATGCCCATGGCAAGGCTGTTTGATGGAGGCACAGACACCTCTAGGGCAGTAGCTTCAGTGGCTTGGGAACAGGCAGGTGGAAATTACCCCCCACCACACACACCCCCTGACATGGTTGCCTCTTAATGTGAGCCTTCCACAGCCATGGGCTGAGTGGGGCAGGCGGCTGTGTTTCCCTGGCATGCTGGAGCCCACTAGCACCCCACCCCCCAAAGCCTGTATATAGCCCAGTGATGGCAGCTGGGCTTCATCTCCCAGCTGTGCTCAGCTGTTCGCTAGCTGTGGTATCAACCCCCCCCCCACCCCCACACACACACATACCTGCATTACTGGGCTGTGTTGTGGCAGGAGCAGGAGGCTGACTGGCATCTGCTGACTCAGCTGGTCCCAGCTCGGTCACTGGCAGGCACGGTTCGCAAACCCCCGTGTGGCCCAAGGATGGGGGGGAGTCA